GCAGCAACCTCGACCCGCTGACGCGCATCATCACGGGCGAGGACGACACGCCCGACCCGCACCCGTGGCTGCACAATGCGCTCAGCCTCGCGGCCGTCTGGATCGTCGGCACGGCCGGCTGGTTCGTGAGCTACAAGATGGGCGCGTGGGATGTGACGGATGGTGGGAACGGAGAGGCGCACGCGGAGCAGGTGGCTGCTATTGGGATGGTGCTGGGGTATTTTAGCGCGTTGTGCTACCTGTGGTGCGCATTTCTCTCTTCTTTCTTCCAGTTTGGTCTCCTTGGCCTGGCTACCTGCCTAGGTGGTTACGGACTTTGTTTTTTTTTCCTTTTGAAAGCAAGATTGCTGACATGGATGGAATTATGCAGTGCTCGCATCCCCCAGATCATCAAAAACTACCGCGAACAGTCGTGCGAGGGCCTCGCCCTGCTCTTCTTTTTGTTGTCTCTCACGGGCAACTTTACGTATGGCGCGAGCGTCATCGCGTACTCGCAAGACAAGGACTACGTCATCCGGGCGCTGCCCTGGCTGCTGGGCTCCTTGGGGACCATGGTGGAGGACTGCGTCATCTTCCTGCAGTTCAGGTTATACTCGCCCGAGCGCCAGGCGAAGACGGGGGGTGTGCCCTGAGGGATGATGTTGCAGAGTCGATGCTCTCTCTGTCTTTAGCATTGCTTTTGTGCTTTGTGAGGTAGGTTTGTGTACATGGAAATGATCTTGATGTGTTTTTGGACTATGAGGAAGGGGAAGAGGGGGATGGTTTTGAAACGTGGCGAGTTGCTTGTCTTTTTTGTGTTATTATGTATCAGTGTTGCTCGCTTGCATATGCATTGCTTGGGGAGTCTATGGCTTCACAGAGACTGGAATATTTGATACTGGGGTGGTGATTGGGCGGTGAGCTGCTGCTTTCCAGGTTCTGCTGCATTTTATCCCAGGCCATTTGGTGGGATACAGATTGTTGTCGTCGTGGGTTGCTATCTGCTTTTTGTAGCTGGAGCATAGTCGGTGTTTGTTTATTTGTTTACTCATGTATCAAATTTGGGTCTATATCTGCTTGTCTACTATTTGATGAGGTTTATCGATGAGATTTTACGCCGGTTGGTTTGATGCTCTGAACAAGGCAGTAAGTACCAAGCATGTGAAGGTTTATGCCTGGTAGCCAGCCCCATGAGAAAGAACGACGCTATCATGAGATATTGTGTCGCGTTTGGCTCAGAAGCGCGACAAGTTGTAGACGTTACTACTGTGAAGGAACTCAAGTATGGGCACGAATACTATACTAGGTACCTTTATAAATCTCGGTAATTTAATTAAACCTACCTAGTTTTGAGCATCAAGTCTCGTGGGCAGCTCGTGATAGTGTGGAGAAGGAGGATGGCATTTCCTGGAGGCCGGGTCAAAGCCCCATCTAAAATAGAACACCAACCGCCCCGACTTTGAGACCCATCCTGCAGGGCAAGCTACTAGACTAGTTATGTGCTGGGTATGTTTCACGTTACTTTGGCTATCTACCTACCTTTTGTTTTTGTTTCACGATGAAGATTTATGCTTGACTGTATACCACACCGCCCATATATATTGCCAGAGAAGTCTATCCCTTTTCTTCTTTTGCTTCACTAGAACTACTGCATTAAGAATTCATTCAGAACACGGTAATAAATTTGCTGACAGATCTGAGTTAAACTTTAATAAACTTTGGATGTCTTTGGTGGATTTTCGACAGGAGAATGGACGGGAGCAGGCCCGGTTGGTTGTCAAAAATGCAGTGCACTTAGGTAGGTATGCAGTGCAATTAGGTAGGTCAGGCCGTGCCCAAGCTGGCTTCACCTGCGGCCCGAGCGAAGCTAAGCAATGCCAAGTTGCCAAGTCTGTGGGGGATCGCCAAAAACGTCTTGGCGATTGCGTTCGACATCAACCACTGCCACTCACCAAAATTGTCGAAATGGAATTCCGATGGTCTCATCAACACACGCCATTTCCGTCGAGTCGGCTATCGGCAACTGTCTGATTGCTGCTATCGCCACCTACGGCCGGGTGCCTTTTCCTAAGCAGTGAACGTTTCAAAAGACCGCCAGGATCAGGGCCCTCCTCGCAGGCCTGGACTGTGGAATCGCATCCCGGATATGTCGGACTCCGAGTGTCTTTTCTTACCTACTGGCTTTCATTTACCTCACTGGTTGTTTGGCATGTTTGTGTATCGCAAGCAACAGATGGACGCGCGGTTCGATGCGGCAATAGACGGCGCTTGCATACTTATTTCCCAGATTCGGGAATCGGAAAGGGCAGTACTAATCAACTAGTCTAATAAGCGGCACTTTCACTCGATACCCTATTTCCAGGCCTTCCTTCCCCTTGCCCAGTGGCAAGTAACACACTCATGCCGCTCCGTGTGACAAGCAACACCCCTCAGAAAAAGACACTGCGTGGCCTGCATGGCCTGCATGGCCTCAAGGGTCTCTCGACGGCCCCAGTGTCATCATCCAGGATAGCTCCGCCACGGTGTAACCGTTGGATGCCATCCATTGAGCCGTTCAATCCACTCTATCCTCAAAGCGCCTAAGGGGGAGGGCGGCGCCGCGTAGTCGACTGGGGCTTGCGACCAGCCCGTGACGCTTCTCCTTCTTTGATGTTCAGCTCGTTCCATCGTCATCTTCAACACAGCTCCCTCCTCTTCATGTGTCACGTTCGAGTGAGTAGCACCTCTTCTCTTCTGCTTACCCCCTTTGTTGTTTCATACTGCAAAGGATACTAATGGTATTCGTTCTGCTGCTGCTGTCTCCTGTTCTCCTTTCTCGTTTCTTCTTGCTTTTTTGTCATCACATACACGCTGCGTCGCAAAGATGACCCCCCGCCTATTATCTACCGTATCGCTGGCGCTGGCGCTTGCTACCATTGGTGGCGCGTCTGCCATCGTACCGCGAAGCTCCAGTGAAAGCAACCCGGGGTTTCTATCGTTTCCCATCGAGCACGCACGACATGTCAGATCGATATCAACAATCGCCAAAAGAGACGCCGATGTTCAACTGTTCAACGTCTCGTCTGTTAGCTACCTCATCCAGCGTAAGTACTCCCGCGGCAATAAAGCCTCGATACACTACATGACGCGTCGGCCTCCAGCTGACAACCGCCGTCACCACCATCAGTAAGCATTGGAACCCCAGGACAGTCCGTCAAAGTCGCCGTCGACACCGGGTCCGACGAGCTATGGGTCGACCCCAACTGCCTGGACCGAACCTTGGTCCAGCAGCAACAACAAGAATGCGTGGCCGATGGCCAATACAACCCGGATAACTCGTCCTCGGCAACCACGTCGGGCATCTCCGCAACAGCAAACACAATACCCTACGGCAAGGGCACGGTCCAGATCGCCTACGTCAAGGACGACATCTCGCTCCCCGGCAGCAGCGCCGCCCTGACGAGCGTGCAGTTCGGCGTCGCCACCCGCAGCCAGGAGCTCAACGAGGGCATCATGGGCATCGGCTTCGGCGCCGGCCTCAACACGGACTACAACAACATCATCGACGAGCTCGCCGCCCAAAAGGTGACCAACAGCAAGGCCTTCAGCGTCGCCCTCGGCAGTGTCGACGCCAACAACGGCGGCGTCATCATCTTTGGCGGTGTCGACACTAAGAAGTTCACCGGCTCCCTCGTCTCCAACCCCGTCCTCGGCCCCCAGTTCAACGGCGACGTCCACCGCTACTACGTCCAGCTCACCTCCATCGCCCTCAACGAATCCACCACCCAGAAAACATACCCCAACAGCTCCGCCGCCGTCGTGCTCGACTCGGGCTCCTCGCTCAGCTACCTCCCCGAGTCCGTCTTCACCTCGCTCGCGGGCGACCTCGGCGCCCAGCTCGACCAGCAGAGCGGCGCTTATTTCGTCGACTGCTCGCTGCTCACCAGCGCCGACACCAACACCATCGACTTTGTCTTTGGGGAGGTCACGATCAAGGTGCCCGTCAGCGACTTCGTGCTGCAGGCCGACTCGCAGGACTGCATCCTCGGCGCCATGTCCGCGGACCCGAGCACGGGCATCACGGCGCTGCTGGGCGATACGTTCATGCGCAGCGCCTACGTCGTGTTTGACCAGACGACGGATACCATCTCGATGGCGCAGTATGCCAACTGCGGGCAGGCGGAGCAGACGATCCCTGCTGGGGGCGTGAGCGGGGTGGGCAGTGGGTGTGATGGGTCGGCGTCGTCGTCGTCGTCGTCGGGGGATGGGTCGTCGACAACGTCGACGACGACGGGGGCGCCGAAGAATGGAGCAGGGAGGACGGTGGGGAGGAGTGAGGAGGCGGCGGGAGTGGCGGTTGCGTTGTTGGCGGGGGGTTTTGTGATGATGCTTTTGTGAGGGGGGTGGGGTTGATGTCGGGCCTGAACCGTTTAGGTGGGAAAATTTCCATTTGTTTTGCTATATATTGCCTTTGGTACTTACGCGTACTTGGCGTGCATCTTGAGGATATTTGCATTTTGCTGGCAAGGGGTTAGGTTAGGATTGGGTTTCATGGGTTATATATTCTAGACTACCGAGCGGTTCCGTATTTGTACACAGTAAAGAGATGGGCGAGGATATATCTGACTGTCATACCGGGTACATGTAGTAGTACTGCTGGTTTGAGGCGTTGAGCTGTTGTATTCAAGTCTTTCACGCCCTAACATGGTAACATCAATATGATGTCCCTTTCGGCTTGTTGGATGCGTGTCACAAAAATGAGGTTGGACAAGTGTGTGACCTTCAACAGTTTGAATAAAGTTGTTATAACTTGGACTTCAAACTCAAAAAGCTTAGAAGTGGTAAGTATTGCTACTTTACCTATTGTTTGGTCTCATCTCTTGAACGAAGCTATCACGCCCCATTCTCCATAGCATTAACGCCCAATGTCATCGTCCACCGCCTTGAAATGTCAACTCCAACACCACGAACATGTACACAACAACAAAAAGACAACAGCAAAATGAGCAATGGCCACTCTGGGAAGCCAAAAAGGAAAGTTATGATTAGAGTGGGATTCGAACCCACGCCCTTTCGGACCACGGATTTTTGATCCACAACATTTGTTGTGGAAACAAGGATTAAGAGTTTGTAACACCTTAACGTGGCGCCTTAGACCGCTCGGCCATCTAACCCGGAACTTATTCGATGGAGTATGTGGATGGTTTTTCAGATCAGGTTGCCCGCTTCTTTCGTCCGCTCATTCTCGTCACTCGGTTTTGGTCTGGGGTCAACCTGGTTCTTCATGTGGCATGTTGGGACTTGGGAATAAGTTAATTGATCTTGACATTATGCAGATTGCAGTCCATTTCGGTCGTTATTTTTCAGTAACTGGCGGCTTTACCACAATCGTCAAGATGATGCACCATCCGAGGTTGAGTCGACTTTGTACAGTTGTTTCTTAGTAGTATCAAAAATTGTATGTAACAGAATATATAATTGCAGGCCCAAGCCTTTGAACAATTGACTTGAACTGGCGAGTTCGAGCCTGTGACGGCAAACGCTCCTTCTTTCCTTCCTCGCACCTGAGATCACTCCACCAAACACCAATTACCAATCTCAGTCGAGCTTGCTTGCCCCTTTCCCCAGATCGGCGACCCGACAAAGCTGGGTATTCTTTGTGATCCCGTCCCCTGACATCATCTGTCGAGTCATTTCGTCTGTCTCAGACACCGTCTAAACGCTCCCAGGAATTCGATTGACGTCGTGCATTCCTTCTCCTTAGCCAGCTGCATGCGCACAGTATGGCCAGATCTTTAACTTCGGAGAGGTCTATATGGAAGAATGGACTCGTCAGTCATATGCATCAACTTGGTTTGGCATCATGGACAATAGACAGACACTCACCCGCATCCCTGGGGAGTTGTGACGCCAAAGAAGCAATCGTCAGAGTTCTTGGGCACGACCTGCTCGGCCTTGATGGGGGTGATGACGACGCCGGCGCTGACGAGCGAGACGCACAGCGACAGGACGGCGGCGGCGAGAGTGGCAGGCTTCATTTTGTCGGATTTGTTATCGATTTGTGTTTATTTGCGTATAGAGACAGACAGACCAGCTGTGGTAGGTATTTGACGTTTGGGCAGATCGCTAGCAAGAGAGAGGGAAGATTGGATCGATCTCGACTGGGAGGGAAATTATGTAATTGAAATGCGAATGATGCGACGGAGATCACCAACCAGCGGCAAAATGCAAGAACAAGAACTTGATACTAAGAAACACGACTGACTGGGACCAAAAGGGGAGCAAAAAAGAGGAGAAAGGAGAGAGAAGGCAGGAAATGACTCGAGAGTGAACTGGCTGGCGCGCGGCAAATCGAACCGAGGGATGGAGGGGATGGGACGCACCACGATGGTCGCATCTGAAACCAAACCCCTTCCTGGAGGAACAGGGGTGGTGAGTGGTGCGGCCTTTCCCCTTCTCGTCGGGTTTCAGATTGCTGTGGGGGAGCGTTGGATGACCATTGACTGGCTATTGTTTGGCAGCTTATGTGTTAATTATTTCTGAAATTTGCTACTTGAGTAATGAATGTGCTTTGGATATTACGTAGTTCATACATGTGCGGATTAGTTGAATGTGAGAGATGGGATAGATCTGGGACATTGCCCGACGGTGCAAGTTGGAGTCAGTCGTCTGCCCTGAGAGATGGGCGACCCCTTGCTGAATCCGGTGAGAGGTGGCGCTCTTGCACGATCTGTTTCAAAGATAAGCGACGGTTGGCCCACTTGCATAACCAGCATACAAGCATGTGGTTATATGAATAAACCGACAGGATAGGCATCAGATCCGTTGAGCCTCCTCAAGTCTGCAGGGAACCAAATTACCAGCCGCGTACAGAGAATAGCTGACGAACCAACTTATACCACATTTCAAGAGATGTGCTGAAGTACGCAGCATTGCCTGAAGTTGCTCTCTATGGCTGTAGACAACAGCGCACCCATAACGCCAACCTTTTGCCGCCCCCAGCCTCCCTTGGTTTGAACCGAAAGCTATGGCAGCTGTCCTTTTGAGAGAGGAAGAGACGTAGTCTCCATAGTATTAATTTGTTATTTGGGTATAAATGTTACAGAGCTTCCGTACACGGGGCTTTCAACCGCGAGCGAGCCACTTTCATCGGAAGCTTCTAATGATTCGCCTCGATCGAAGTTTTGGGCGCCGCACGTTGTCGTTGTCGTTGTCGTCATCAACTTAGGCGGGTACCGGGGCAGGCGCGCCTGTCACGCTTCCTCCGCTTTGAGGGCTGGCCTGCGGGGGCAGGAAGATGGGCAGATATGTGACGAGGAGGGACATCACTGGTGGATGACTTGATCAGCTTTACAGGGCAGTGGCAATTATGGGGATGGAATTGACATACAGGACATGCCCACGGAGAAGTAGCCGGGTGTGCTGGAGCTCTTCTTGGTCTCCTCGCTCTCGCCCAGCCAGTTTTGCAAGCTAAAGACAACGGATGCCCTGAGAGAATTGTGTTTCGTCAGCACAGGCCAGCGACGGATGGTCTGTCGCGCAGACGGGAGGGGAGCTTACCACCCGATGTATCGGTTGCGCATGAAGATGGCAGCCATGGGCAGCGTCGAGGAGAGGGTCGATGTCAGCTCGTTGCTCTCGCCCTTCGCGGGCGGCTCCTGGTATGGGATAACTGGGCAAATGGTGATGTTCAGGTCAGCCGGCGACACTTGTTGAATCGTCCCCCTTCATCGTCATCGCCATTGCAGCTGCAATTGCCATCGCAAACAAGTGGTGCAAGTCTTACCCAGGTCCGGACGCCGCATGTCTTTCTTGGAGGCCATTGCGATTGACGATTGTGATATTGGGCGATCGATGCTGGATAATCGATGCTGGATAATCGATGGCGTCGTCTCGTCGTCGTCGGCGTCGTTGGATAAGGGAGCTACAGGTCCGATCGGCACGTTGATGCAAGGGCCACCTACGACGCGCAGCAACAGCCATGCTAAGTCTAATTGCTAAGGTAATCAGCCCCCCTAGCGTTGCGAACTTTCGAAGTTCCAGCGCACTGTCCCCACTAAAGCTAAGGTACTGTGTAGGCTGGTGGGTTTTAGAGAAACCCGCGGATTCGGATACTTCGAGATTTATTCGGCGCGACCACATTCACACTTTCATGCCACTTTCATGCACCCCGGTGCTCCGTCTGCGGGGGATTTTTAAAGATGTAATCATTGCAGGATATGATGGCTGACTGAATCCTACCTGTCACTTGCCAGACGAGCCAGGCAGATCGTCGCTGGATCACCGGGCCCATCGTCACCAAACACGCCCGAGACTCGCATATCACCAACCATAGCTACCCGAGCTCCCGCACGGCAGCAGCACAGCGCCTTCACCGTAAGCTGCGGGTAATAGGTTTTCAGGTCGCCACCCATAGACCCCTAAAGCTTGCTAGCAGCCTGGCTACCCACATCGGGCATGGACGCTGCACCCGCTCAGGCCTGTTAGACGAAGTGATCTGATATAACAGACAACGCCGGCCGACATTCCAATTGGACATCTGATAGGTTGGTCGGCTTAGGCAACGGTGTTGTGGCTCCCAGCGCCTTTAATCGCTACGCTATCTCGCATGCAAATCGCGAGGTTTTTCCAGCAGAACAAGTCTGTCACGCAGGAGCAATGTGACGCAGAAGAAGCCCGACGATTGACAAACCAATCCGTCACCGCGACACCAAGTCAGGGTGGAACCAGCTATACCGTTGAAGGCCGGCACGTTGTCGTCTAATTCTGCGTTCCACATTCCACGCTGGACATGGGCTTGCTTCAAAGCATCGAGCAAACCTATCAGGGCTTCGTGCCACACTATGAGTACCAAGGTCAATTCGGCCAGCTTAGTCTACACAATGAACAATATCGGGGGTGCCTGCATGTACCTGGCCCGAGCGAGCTTTTAAACAATGACTCCTACCTCCTGACGACTACGCAAGGTTTGTCGAGCTCTCTTCCCTATTTTAAGCGCAAAAACGGTCAGTTAATTTAGCGAAAGCTGATTTTTTGCTTCTGCGTTCTATAATACGCTTACCATGATGGCGCGGCCAGATCCTGCTCAACTTTTATTCTAAGCAAAGTATTTGTTGTAGCTCGGGCAATTACGCAGCGAACTTCCCCCGCGCTTCCGCCCGACGCTGGACGGACTTATCCCCCAAGTCTCGGACCTCTTCGCTGGAGGCGGGGAAGCTCCTGCAAAGCATGGCCACCAAGCCGGATGGTGAAGGCCCAGCCACGCCAACTCTCTCGATCCTTGGCGTCGATAACGCTGTGGGATCTGAGGGTTTTGGTGAGAATAGTGCTGAAGAGGGGGAGGCGTAGCTGCAAACCCCCAGGCCCTGAGACTTAGTAGAGCCAGTTTCTCGAAACGACGAAATCGAGCCACAGGGAAGCACGGTGACTGGCTTGCTGGGCGGCCCTCGGGGTCTTGAAGGAGCAAGCGTCGTCGGCAGCGACGGCAGCGATAGCAGCCTAGCTACAGTCATACAAGTCTAGAAAGCCGAGGCGGCGTAGACTGAGGATGACGGGCAGGAGGAGGCGGACAACGACGACGCATCCTTCGTCGCTGGCTGCCTCGTTGGCGGCGACGTCGAGGTAGAAGGGGCCCAAGGTGCCGCCGTGGCCTGTAGGAGAAATCAGTCGATGCATAAAAGAAGCCGCCCAAAGGAAAGCTCATCGTTGTTACCACCTTGCTCCTTTACGTCTCTACCCTCGGTAGACCAGTAACGTGCTACTATAAGGCCGATAGATTATAAACGAATTAGGACGGAAGGTTCGAATCCGATGAGTAGGGACAAGACTTGTTAGGGGCGCTAGGCTGGCTGGGCATATATATCGGTCAATAATTTGATAATAGGGCCACTGGCTGTCAGGCTCACAGCACAGTTTGCGCAGCGCTGTCTGACACTCCAGTAGCATTTGACCGTAGTTCAGGTGAGTGTGAATAAAATGTGCGCATTATGTCTGAGCAGTGAGTCCATGATAGAAAAACAGCGGTCATTGGAGGCTGGAGCCTTGGCTGCGTTAGCTTTTAGGCCCTGGGAGATAAAATAAGAGATAAACGCGCTAGGCTGCGGGTGCGGGCGCCAAGATTGGCCGCGCGCATCCCCGACAGCGACAGAGACAGCAGGCGATCCTGGCCGGCGAC